TAAACTAATTTGAGTAACTTGAGTCAAGTTAAAAGTTAAAAGTATACTTTTCAAAATTACCATTAAACTACACTTATAAACGTATTCTGTACTTTAATATTTATATTTTGAGAGATTTACTACAAATGACTCTTGTGGCTATCCTATATAAGCGGCATGCTCGTCTTATTATGCGTTAATAATATTCACATAAAAATACATTATTTTCGTCGAAATATAAATGCAAAAACATAGGTATGCACATTTTATAGGTACAAACAGTTTATAAATTACGTTTTAGAAATTTTAACAAAATTAGTCAAGTTAAAATCTATAATTAAAACGAATAACTAAGTTAATAATTATGACAATGTATTTTATTATTTTTGAAATGGTTTAGTTAAAAGTAACTTGTAACTTTTTAACTACTAGTTTCCGTCCAACATTGCTCAGGTCGTAGAGTTATAACTAACTGTTAACTTTAGATATTGTCCCAGCATATTATGGGTTCATCGGTGCAACAATAATGTTATTTGCAGTTTGTCTCAATTTATTTAAATTACGGCACTCGATTACGAACTGTAGATTCGGTCATTCTCCCCTCGAACAAACTACAAGAGCTATATTATAACAATAATAACAATAATCGGCCACGCAAATAGACGATAATATTTTATTATCGTATATGTATTCGTGCAATACCGCCGGGGACAAGGGGTAAAATCTGTGTTATTTATTCGCTATTTAAGGATATATATATATTATTGTAGTGAGAAATAAAACGATAATTTTTAACATGACTATGTTTAGGTATAATAATAAACTGCAGCAACCGACCGAAATAAGCCGAGTAAAACGAAATAAAACGCTGTATTATAAATCCATACAACGGACGAAATCAAATCGACCGGGACTTTTTTTTTTTTTAAAAAAAAAAAAATGTATTATTACGTATAATAATAGTGTTAGATATAATTTATTGTAATAACTCCGGAGTATTGTTAGCGCTCGGACGTCAAGAATTTGCTTTTGACAATATTATAGGTATATTATTATAGGTACAGTGTGTTTCAATCAAATGATAACGCGAAGCATTTTAGCCAGATGAATTAATAGTGAAATGGTTTCTTTTTCTTTTTCTATGAACATCAGTGGTATAGAAATATGTATATTTTGTTTCAACGTCCAAAACGTTCACACCCAATGATGCGTACACGTGCAATAACACTTAAATTTTATCAAATGGAAACACAAGATTTTAACATTGGGTTCGAAAAGTCTAACTATTTTTAAGCAACTTTGACACATACACATTTTTTTCCTAACCGCATAACTTCAAAAAGAGAAAAAATTTGATTACTGTTTTTTGAGGAAAAAAATTATAAGTAATTATAATCATAAAATGTATAATTCAAATGTTAAAATTTGTCGAGAAATTGTGAGAGTATCGTATTTGCTTTAATAAACTTTAGATGATTCTATCTCAGCCAATTTTCAGAAAACCCGAGAACAATTTTTGTACTAGTTAAATTGGTTGCTTGAAAGAAAAAAAAATAACTATTTGAATCAGGTGTTGATAATAGGTGATTTATTGATTTACAAAGAACGTACAGTGGATTCCGCTTAATGTAGCCACCGGTTAATGCAGGCAGCCGTCTAATATGGGCATAATATAATAATTTCAATAAATAAATAATGACAATTTCCGGAGCAATTAAGTCAACACCAGCCTCTTGGCTTCCAGTATTGAGCAATATAGCGCCACCTCACCTCCGAAGATACAATTCCCTAGTTCGAGAATATAACAACCACAATTAGACTGCGGACACGATACCCAGACAGCCAATCGCATCGTGGAAGAATGTCCAATACGCAGCATCCAAGGCGGAATGGAACATTTTCGTAAGGTTACAGCAGCAGCAACAAACTGGCTGATCAATCTGGACATTGGAATTTAGGACAATGTAAACACTATCCCGACTTACATTTTATTTACTTGACTAATTATTATTGCATAAGCTCCTTACATTTTATCAATCTATATATTTTTTCATTTTTATTTTTATATTTATGTTATCTATATCACTTATTTGTAGTATCTATTTACGTTGTTAGTGTTGGATTTAAACCATACGAAATATATAATATTAATAATAATTATGATGATAAAATAATGACACTCATTTCGGTTAAAATGGACAACTGTTTAATGTGAGCAAATGTAACTAGTCCCAACGTGCTCACATTAAGCGGAATTTATTGTATTTTGGTAAACTTTCGATTATGCAGACGAGAAAAAAAAATCATCTGTTTTCAATCCATGGCCATTTGGCTGAAATTTGTCGTATTACTGTTTGAGTGAAACGCACTGTATTTTATCGTCGTCGTCGTTAATGCATACGGAGGAGAATGTGTAAGACATATTTTTATATTTGTACACTTTTTTTCTTAACCGTGTTTGATACAAGTTTACGATTGCGGATAATAATGATAATAACAACGCAAAAGTTATATTATCATACCGTTTAAAACACATTTTAAAATGACGAAAACCAAGTCGTCGCCGCCGCCACCGCCGTCTGAACGAAACTACTACGAGTATATACGCAGGAGTCGTTAAAAACAGATTTGGTCACGATAACGAAATATCCCTAAATCGATTTTTCATTCAAGTTTGAAAAAGTTTTTTTTTTTAATATTATATAACCTAACCGTGTCGGGCGCACGAGCATTGTATACTTTGGAAAATAGCGTCTTTTTGAACTATACATTCGAAATACGAAATTCTTAAAACTTCGCCCCGAGTCGTACAGATTTCGAACACTAGTAGTGTTGTAAAACTGTACAAGACGTAATGATTATACATTATTATTATTACACGTCTCGGACTGACTGCCGTTTCGGAGAACCGACTCGGACGAAAGTCGGTATTTTGCGGTATGTACGTATTCTCTGCAAATGTAAAAACTATTACATTGAAATCAACACTGATGACGAACTTCGTTACTCGGCATAACACCCAACTGTAAATCCGGGTCCGCACGCTGACAGTAAGTCACTATTGTGATGGTTGATGTTGTAATTGTAATTATATAGTGGTAGTAACTAACATAAAGACTGAAAGACTTTAGACAATGTGCAAATGATGTTATAGTTTGAGTGATAGGGAGTAAATTTCGATCGAACATTTAGAGAGACAATCGGGAGCAATCCTCTTATCATATACGGGTCATCTTCTCGAATTGAGCTGGGGGCATGAAATTTTGCATACGCATGAAGTTAGTATTAAGAATATGCTTTTTAGAGCTTCTAACCTATATAACTTTTTCGTTTCTACTATTTTAGATTCGTAGTGTAATGTGGAATATATTGGTTTTATAATGATGTTTATTTTTTCTTCTTTTTTTTTTTATCTTATGAATAACTTTCTTTTCTACCAGAAACTTTGATCTGATATATCAAGTGTAGCACGTTTTATGAAAGAAAATTTTGTCTAGTTGGTACTTCAAAGAAATAATTTTTTGATTTTCCAAGTGGTTTTCATAATAATTGGGAACAACTTAGAAAAATGGGGCAATTTAGGTATAAGTATAAAATAAATTTCGTTCAGAATTGTTTTTTGTTAGCAGTGGTTTATAGTTGGGTACATATGTTAAATTTCACTAAATATCTTTCCTTCTCAACTTCTCACCTATAACAGTGGCCCACGTATCGTACGAAATATGTCCCGATGTCCGTCTTTCTTTATGATCAAAATTCCATATTTTTTTTTTTTTGGAAATGGTAGGTAATATTATAGTATACCTAATAGCATATTGTTGTATTAATTATTATAGTAGGTATTTGATTGTTTATTGTTTTGCAATTCTGCTGTTCACGGGTGTTTCTTTATTTAAATTTTCGGTATAGTTAATTTTATTCGATTAACTGGTATTTTGTTAAACCGAAAACATCACAATGTCATAATAGTCTCGTCGAAAAATTATTATAAGTACGTAACAACCACAGTGGCGTTAAAGACGTTGCCGTGCGAAATTGCATTGACCGAGAACGTATTCGTTTATATTCGTATTATATTTGTCAGAGAGAAGATAGCTGCACACAGACGGCGTGCGGGAAAACGGATGCGGTCTCGAATATTCGGGTTTATTATAATATTCGTTTGCGAAATCATTAACATTCTCGAAACGTTTTTACGAAACATGTTCACGTATTAATATTATCATATATTGTTATGCGTGAGTGTAAATAGTGCACACGGCTTCGGGTTATAGTAAAAAATAGAAACGGGAACTCGGTCCGACCGACTTGGAGTTGCAATGTTGCCGAGAAGATGCTACGGATTCCTTGGATTCCATTATAGCACGCCGTTGGAGAAAATTATAATTTATATTTCATTCGTCGCCGGGTACACCAATTTTTCCGGTAAAATCGTATATAATATAGTGATCAAGGATCTGTGGTATTTTGAATCATATAGGGCAATCTTTTTAAGTCTGTCTATGTAAGACAGTTAATTTTTTCTGATTTTTTTTTCTATTTATAATACAATAAGCCACACAAAAAACACGTTTCATCGTTCTAATTTTCCTTACCTTTATTGGCTGGCGGGTGAAACCACTATCACGTTTTGATTTTTAAATTATAACATTATATACTTTCAACAACAATAATATTAATAATCTATTTTTTTTTCTACGCGTTATTTAAATCAAAGTTTGGTTCATGATACACCATGTTTTCCAGAAGCTATGATAAATAACGATGACTAATTTTAATAATATTTAAGTATTTCTTATCTACGTGATCGTAGTGTCCACCGTAACTGAATAGCTACGGTTTCATTATGGTTATCACGACCTATAGAAGGAATCCTCCGTAGGGAAGTCTAGGTATAATGATTATGAGAAAAATAGCTAGGTAAAAATAACCAAATACTAAAATGGTCTAAGGAAAATATACTCGGGCGCGTGTTTTTGAGTGGCATAAACGAATTTCTAAAGGTCGAGAGTGCACCGGCTATGATCAACGTCCTGGTCGACCTGTCTACGTTTCGACGCCACAAAAAGTGGCTCAAATTAATGAAATTGGTTCCAGAGGATCAAATTGTGAACCGAAATTACTATTTGACAGTTTTGGTAACACTGCACGAACGAGTTCGTAAGAAACGGCCGATGTTGTTGAAAAATAAGTCGTGGATTTTGAACCAGGATAACGCATCTGCCCATAACGCGCTGTCTGTGAAGCGTTATTTGGCCTCTAAAGGCACTCTAGTGCTCGAACACGTGTCTTACTCACCCGACTTGGTACCCTGCGACTTTTACTTGTTTCCGAAGATCAAGTCTGCTTTAAAAGGAACCCGGTTCGAGTCGTTGAAAGAGGTGAAACGAAAATCGGCGGAACTCCTGAATGGTCTTACGAAAACAGACTTCCAGCACTGCTTCGAGTAATGGAAGAAATAAATTAAATGGTGTGCGGAGAGGGGATGAGAGTATACTGAAGGGGAACATTCGGTTATGGAATAATTTTTTAAATACAACCATTTTTCATAAATAGTCTCGTTATTTAATAGCCAGACTCCGTAGTTCACTAAACATGATCAACCCATTTTTTTTGATTAAATTTAGTAATAGAGCACTATTAAAACACAGCGCGCCATGCCGCCACACAAAGGATACTCCACTACTCTCCCCCTAACTAAACTTAAAAGTCGAATATCTCGTAAACGAGTTAAGATAAATGAATAATGTTGGCACCAAAATTTATTTGAATTAATATTACGTCTATTCATGGATTTTTTTAATATAGGTTTTAATTTAAAAAACTAACGTTGATATTGCCATAGGATACTACTTAAATGTTGTGAAAAATTCAAGTACACGAAAATATTGTCTTTAAATACACTTAAAATTTCCAAAAAAAATCAGGATTTGAAAATATGCAAAATTTAATCAAAATAATGGGGTGAGCATACTTAGTGAACCACCCTGTATATATTAGTATATGGTTTCGGTTAATATATATACATATTTATTATTTACATTAAAAGTAAACCAATAATAATAAAATCAATAAATTACAGTAAAAAATAAAATAAAATAAAACATTTACACAAATAAATATAAATATTTGTATTTATTTATTAACGGACTTGGAGTCCAATAGAATAATACAATTTACAGTAATAAATATATTTGTACAATATAGAATAATCATTAAAATAAGCAAACAATAGAGTGGATTTAAATAATAAATGATAATTATAATATCAAAAATAGAAAAAAAAAACAAATGAAAAATGGTAATAACAAATTGCAATTATAAATACTAATCAAAACAAATTAAGAAAAGCTTAGGTGCTCGTTACCCATGCGCATCATACGGTGAATGGGATTATTTTTACCATAGTTGGTGTTGTAGAATGGAACAACAAAGGAAGAATCAGACCTAGTTCGGTGAGAAGGAATATTAAAATTGTAACATTAAAATCATCCATTTCTTTTCGGATAAAACGATTTTATCCTTATAAAATCTCCCAAAAACTTGAAAATGTCAAATACCTGTAAATAGTTAAAACATCGCAAGAACAATTTGAAAATTTTACCATTTCTTGAAAAACTTATATAAGTATAAGTGTTATTTTTTACCGAAATATAAAAAAATTTAAAAAAATCGAAAATGTCCTTTCAGAATGGTATACGGAATCTAAAAGTAACTGCGTTAACATACTCGTATTAATGATGAAGGTAAATGTAGTTAAAAAATGTGCCCTTAACTATATAAATAATTTTATTTTAAAACACAAAAATATAAACCATTATTGAAAACTTGTCAAGTTAATTCACTCACGACAAGCTAAAAATAACATCAACATAAAATATTGAATTGGTCGTATTTGTTAATAAATCTACAATGCCAAATAATTTTGTACAACCATAAAAATAATATAAAATGAGTTTATCGCCGACACTAGTAAAGGCATTTGTCACACGAGTCGTTTGCAGCCACTAGGCCATTTGTTTTTCTCCTTCGCCACCATCGTCGTCTTTTTGTTTAACATTCTCTCAAAAACATAATTTATGATAAAATATTATGTAATACGCGTTTTATTACCTAGTTTTTATATAAAAATACCGTGCCAAGTTTCGAAAGATTGTTTAGTTATTGGTATTTCTAGTAAAAATTAATTTTCTTGCTTATAAATATAATAATTATATACATATATATTTTTAAGCTACTCGAGAGCTTTTATTATAATAATCATAGATCTTAAATAATACGCTTTGAAAGTATACATGAATATTTGTGATGTATTAATATAAAAAAAAAAAGAAAAAAAAAAGAAGCATGTGGTAGTGTAGTCTCCTAACCTAACCTCCCGGTAGAATATGCCTGGCCTTAGTCTTATCTTATACTGAGTCATATGGTCTTCTGCATTTGAGATATGCCTAATGTTTTAAGAATTATCCAATAGTTGAATTTTTACTAGATAAGTGCGTTGATCTAGCCTTATCTCATGTTTCTGGGCAAACAAACCATCCTCTTGTTACAGTGGTTGGCATTGTATCATATTGAATTCGGAGGCGACATTGTTTGATTGAAAAAGACTCTCAAGGTGTCGAGCATATACTTCGGTTTTATCTTGTTCACTTCGTACCTGTCTTTTTTTTGGATGGGAGAAACATGAAAATGAGATCTTTTCATACGTCTTGTGGCTTTCCACAACATATAATTAGTATTATCCGTTGCAGATAAGCCACTCAGATATTATTTGAATGTTTAAATTTTTTACTTCCTTGATATTTTTGTGGATGATCTTACTGATACGATTTCATTTAGTTTTATCCTTAGGATTTAACGTTAAGTGCTAAGTTTTTCTCACTTTGCCTTTTGTTGTACTAGCTCTCTTATTTCTAATAGATAAGTGATTTCGTGATTACTGTCATTAAAAACTATACAGGTGTTGAAATTTCACTGCTTCAACAACGCCATTAGTCAATTTTTGAACAGCTTTTTCAATGTCAAATGATGTTTTAAACTTAACCGAGATGTTTTTAGAGTATCCTTAAAGAGGTATGTTCTTTTGTTTGTCAGAAAATGTTTTTGTTCTTTCATTATAACGTTTGATCTTAACGAAATTAGCATAGAAATATGGCCAGATGTTTATTCAATTAAGCCTTCAGCTTTAATATAAATGCAGTAGATACGTTTAATAACAAAAAAATTAAGAATTACCAATTATGTTACAAAAATTACATTTTTTCAGTTAATTTAACTTAATCAAGTTAATATAATTTATTAATTGCTAATTCTTAATATGTTTTAATTTGAACTATTTCTAAGTATATATAGATGACTTGCATAATCAGACAAGGTAATATTTCCGTGTCAAATTATCTTTATGATTTTTACTGAGTATTGCGACACCGAAACGATTTATCTTCCAAGTAATATAACATTTTCCCCTTCAACGTCCCTACTGGCTATGTTTATTACCGACAAGCACGTCAATATCGTAACGAACCGCACGAAACATATTGAAGGGCACGGACTCGGGATTGTAGGATCAAAATTAACAAGAATAAATCAGAGTACGTGTTATATTTCCACCAGATTGTGGGAACGCCACAAATATTAAAAAAAAAAAAAAAAAACAAAAATCAAAACGTAAGTTCAATCGAAAGCGAATTCAAAAGTGTACTGCAGATACACATTTTTGTTAGGCAAATAATATAAGCTTCAAACGACACATTCGAAAGTCAAGAGTCCACACCTACTTAAATAAAAATAAAATTAACTCTGTCACGAATTACAATTTATTAAACTGCCAAAAAAAAATAAAATATTAATTTTGGAAAATATAAGCGAGTGACCCATTAGTTTTTTTGATAATACATCTGTTTATTTTTCTACAGTCTGTATAATTGTTAAGTTTGGAAAAGTGAAGATTGTTATAGGTATTTAAAACAAAATTTTTAATTTCCATCGAAGTAATTATAATATTTAATTAATATAAAACATTTGAAACGTTATATTCTATATGATACTATTATTTTATTTACAACGTTTTGAAGACGCACAAAAATCATGGCCATACCTTCGATTGTGTAAAATATGGACGAAAAGAAATATTATAAACATATTTTAAAACTTTTTACGAAAAGTAAAGGTAAATTATATTATGTGATGATAATAATAATTATTATGATACTATAATACGAGCAATATTTTGGCACTACGGTTATTTATGATATTTTAGGAAATGTTATTTTTACTTTACATCAAAAATTGTGAATTATGATAATGTTATTATTTAGTTAGAAAGTATTAAAAAATATATACTCCAGCTTTACAATTTTAGGTATAGAGATTTTTTGATTTATAACTATAGTACTATAACTATAACTATAGTATGTACAACAAAATACTGTCTCGCGTTTAGCCACAATATTCTATTATATTTACACGTAGTTTCAAAAATAAATAGCTACTTTTTTTTTTCTTATTTAACAAAGTAATAAGTTGTACACTTTTGAAAAAATCCATAAAAATTAAAAAATAATGTTGGACAATGAAATCAAATTTTAGGCGTCAACTTTTCTGGTTTTGAATAAATTTTATATTTATGTCATATCGTTTTTACGTAAAGAATAAAGTATTGTTAAACAAATATACTTTTGATGTATAAATTTACTTATTTTTTGATTAGCGGAACATAAATATACATCTGAATGATTGTAACAGTACAATACTTGACAAATAATAACTTAAAAACTTGATACAAAACATTTTGCGTGCAGAGAAACAGAATAACATATCCATAGTTTCAATAAAACAAAAAAATACGTTCCGATAGAGGGAAATTGATAATTGATTTAATAAGAAATATGTTCGTGGTTGGAAAAATGAAAAGAATAGAGAACAGAAAATATTGTCACTTATAGTATACATATTATAATGAAGACTGGACAATGAAACAAAAGTTGTGTTTAGTAATTTCGTTTTTGAGTGTAAAAACGTAACGAGTATATTGTACAAAACTTAAATTGATCGTCTTTGAAAAATTACAATTACAGAAAAATGTAGTAGTACCTCAAGCAGGAAAAAATGACTCATAAGACAATTGACAGTATTATAATATATACAGGTTAAGAATACAGGATAAAAAGAATCATATTCGGTCAACATGTAAAATCGATTTTTTAATAATGTGTTTTTTTCCTTCTAAAGTTTTTGATTTTAAACGTTTTTCCGACGAAAGTTGTTTTATTTTATTTTCAATCTGTCTGAAAACATTTTCTATATATGTATTTCAGTTAACGAGTAAAACGGCGATAAAGTAACTATATATACTATCTCTTTAACAGAATCGACATACTATACGAGCTCAGAGTGAATTCCCTGGCCTATTGAATACGTTCTAGTGACGTATATATTGGATCTATTATAT